AAGCCATGTGCTCCAAAATCTAGTGATACTCTGAATCCAGCTGCCTGATGCCCACATGATTATTTCCAAACTCAGAGAGGGAATAGGGGTTCCCTTAGGCCCAAAGTAATTTGACTAAAAGAAAAACAAATACTTAAGTTTATGAAGGAAAATTAAGAGCTTTTTAACAAAAAAGATACTGAAGTAAAATAATAAACCAACACAAAACAAGTTATAAAATCTAAAACCAAATAGAAGGCATTAACTATAAAACTTGTGAAAAATAAGATGATTTAATAACATGAAATAAATAGTACAAGTAGGGAGAAATGGGGGAATAAAAGCCAGAAGATTAAAGACTTAATGGGAATTGGTAATTTAAACAAGAATACCCCCAAAATGAAAAGATATAGACAAGGCAAAAACATTAAGACAATTCTGAAGTACCCAGTGTAAAACTTCGGGCAAACAAAAGAAAGAGGAAAAAATAGAAACAAATTCACTGAAAACAAATGGTGACCTGAGCCCTAATCAGAGTTCTGAGTTGGCTTAATCATCCCCAGGCTAAAGGTGGAGTTCCTCCAAAACACGGACTTGAAGGGAAGGGACCCCAGATCCTCAAGGACTTGCAGACATGTTCAGCTGTCTCCTGAATGCTAGAGGCCATGTTTTTAGTTGGCACCTAACTTGAAGGGCCTAGGCTCTTAAATTAAAATGTTAGGTAAAAATGGAAAGCAATATGGAGATTCCTCAAAACACTAAAAATAGAAATACCATTTGACCCAGGAATTCCACTCCTAGGAATTTACTCAAAGAAACAAGTTCTCAGATTCAAAAAGACATATGCACCCCTATGTTTACTGCAGCACTATTTACAATAGCCAAGATATGGAAGCAACCTAAGTGTCCATCAGTAGATGAATGGATAAAGAAGATGTGGTACATACACACAATGGAATACTATTCAGCCATAAGAAGAAAACAAATCCTACCATTTGCAACAACATGGATGGAGCTGGAGGATATTATGCTCAGTGAAATAAACCAGGGGGAGAAAGACAAGTAACAAATGATTTCCCTCATCTGTGGAGTATAACAATGAAGCAAAGCTGAAGGAACAAAATAGCAGCAGACTCAGAGACTCCAAGAAGGGACTAGTGGGTTACCAAAGGGGAGGGGTGTGGGAGGGCGGGTGGGGAGGGAGGGAGAAGGGGATTGAGGGGTATTATGATTAGTACACATGGTATGGGGGGGCTCATGGGGAAGACAGTGTAGCATAGAGAAGACAAGTAGTGACTCTGGGGCATCTTACTATACTGATGGGCAGTGACTGCATTGGGGTATGGCGGGGACTTGATAATATGGGTAAATGTAGTAACCACAATGTTTCTCATGTGAAACCTTCATAAGAGTGTATATCAATGATACCTTAATTTTTTTTTTTAATGTAAGGTAGAAAGATAAACATGTGCAGCCAGGGAAGGGGAAGATAAGTTCAAGGAAAAAACACCCAGCTGCGGAGGGCGGGGTGGAGGGGGTACACTTGAAGACAACAAAGGCTTTGCAGGGAGATAATTTCTTGGCCTATGGGACCAGGCCAAACCAGTCCCAACCAGATCACAGTGCAGGCACAATCAAACAAAACTAAGAACCACCCAAACCACACTTCATAATCTCATTAAAATAAAATTGTCATTTTTCTCCCCCCATGGGCTTTTCTGTGTGTATTCTGGGAAAGGACATCACACAGAGAGGGCTGGCTATATAAGTGGACCTATCAATCAAATGACCCCACTTTGTCAATGGAAGAGGTGCCTTCTAGCCCAAATGTAATTAAAAGGCCTCCTGCCTAAAGGATGGGCGGGCCTTTGCCTACCTTGACTCTGGCCCACTCCTCCCTTGAGGTGTATTCAAATAAAACTTTCACTGTGCTTCACTATTGTGTCTCTGCCTTTCAATCCTTTGTTTCTGTGGGGCAAGAACCAAGGAGAACAAAGTTGACCAGTAGCAAAAACACAGAAACCTACAATCTCCTCGGCTTTTGCAAACTCCCAAGCAAACCCTCTTGATTGCTCTGTGTTACTCTTTGGTTTTACAGCATGTACATCTGGATGGAACAAATAGAGATTTCATCTCCCAATTCTTTGGTCGTCTTTCCTAGACACCCATTGGGTCATCCATTACGTCTCTACCTCATGCAATGCTCAATGATACTATCAACCCACTACTAGTCCCTATCTACTGGACAGGAAAGATTACAACTAATTTCGTTATTACAACTGTGTAAGTGCTATGAAGGAGAAGCACAGAAGCTCTAAGAATAACAGGAAATAACTTGGCAATCATGGAAGGCTTTCTAAGGTTAAGTATCTGTTTACTGAAGTAGAATTCATTCAACCAAAAGGGAATGGAAGAGCATCCTAGGTAGGAAGAACAGACAAGATTAACTATTCAGGCTGTTAAGGCCAGAAGACAGAAAGGAAGGCCAAGAGGGAGAAGGTACAAGTGAGATAAGCAGGGACAGGAACCTAGGCTTTGAAGCCACATTAAGAATCTGTGTTTATTTTCTATTCTGGGTGAGAAATATTAGACCTATTATTTGGATTCAGTGTAAATTTTGCCGTTGATGGTTTGATTCTGTAATTATCAATATATAGCTTACCCCAAATAATACAAAATCAATGAATTTTCATTTAAAAAGCATTCTTCTTGGCAATTAAATCAATTTAATTCCTTGATAAATTAGCATACAGAAGATTTGAACTGATTTTCAATTCTTTTCATTTCCTTTTAATTTACTAAAATTAATGAAAGATTGATTTTATTATAAACTTTCCATGGAAACTTGATTCATCAATAGTTTTGTCTTCAAGTTTAATTTTCCATGGTCCTTATCAAAATTTGATTCCTTTGCCATTTTTAACAAAATTTCACCAAGTGTCCCTATTAAGCCCTTCAAGTTTAATGTTGGTTATGATTATAAGGAATGCTGTCTTTGAATCCAGATGAATAACAGTTATTTCTCAGTCAATCCATGAGACAATCTCAAGCTGTTCTATTGTTCAGGACTGATTGATTGCAATGGTTCTTTAAATTCTCAATCTCAGGACTCTTTACTTTTAAAAATGATTATCAAAGAGCTTTTGTTTATGTGGAGTGTACTATTTATATTTGTTGCATTATAAATTAAAACTGCATGTTAACTACATATTCTTATAACTCTATTTTTCAAAACAAGAAAATTAGAGTAGCATTGTTCTACATTTTGAAAAATTTCCTTTATATCTGGCTTAATGGAAGACAACTAGCTTCCCATACCCTTTACGTTCAAACTGATTTAATCACATACATGGTGTAGTCTCTAGAAAACTCCCCAGCAGAAGAATGAGAGGAAATGTCTTAGCATCGCTAGGCTACACTTTGAGAACTGCTGATCTCCTGTTATGTTTCCCAACAGGTGTGTCGACAAAAAATTCATTTGAGTCACCTTGAAATAAAGATAGAGTTTAAGTGAGCTTGGCAGAGGATTCACAAGCTCAGAAACATTAACTCCCAGGAATAGGAGAGATGTTTCAAGGAGTCCAAGTCATACAAAGGTTTTTGTATCTTCATGGAGATAATCAAGAAAGACAGAATTTCAAAAGGGATACATCCATTTCAATAAAATACGAACTGCTAAAAGAAAAAAAAGGTTAGGGTTTAATATCCATCTTGGCACCAAAGGGAATTAAGAGAAAGGGCAAGTGTTCTTGCTTAAATCCTTGAGCACAAATCTGTACAGCAAGGGAGAACAGAAGTGCTGATACATACTTTGTTTAGCTCTTAACTTGGTTTTAATTAACAGATGGCATTATAGAGTTAGGAAGTTTAATTTTTCAAGTATGGTCATTTGAGACTCCCAGAGTTAATGAAACTTTCAATACTTAGGCCTTAGAAATCTTTTTGGTGCTCCCTAGTACGGTGATCAGCTTTCCTTTATTTCATAGTTGGCTCACATACTATTTGATTTGAGGAGACAAAAAACTATTTTATTTTAATAATGATGCATTTTAGGTGCTTATTAGAAAAGTTGTAACTGATGTTACACTTGACATGTGATTATTCCTGAAGGCACACTAAATGTCCCAATATAAAGAAAAGTAATTTGCAAACATCCAAGTGAAAGAACAAAAACCGAGCCCAAACATTATGCTTCAGGTTTCCTGTTTTTTTTACAAGTAGAGTGGATTACTTTCACTGTGTGAAATTATTATTAAAAGTACTCTATTACCATTCAGTCTTTTTGAAATCAGCTGTGTTGATGTGGGAAGACATTGAGATCGGGTTTTTAAAGACTCTGGGAGAGTAAAAGGGGTTTATATTTCCAGGAAAAAGCAGAAAAGTGGAATGTAGATGGTGGTTAAGAATGCGCTTTTTGCAGTCAGTCTGACCTGGGTAGGAATCCTAGCTTTGACATTACTAGCGCTGTGATCTTCGGCAAATTACGGTTTGTAAACTTCAGTTGCTCTCCTGTAAGATGTAGCTGATAATAGCTAACGCGTAAGACTGACCATTGGCAGATAACTGCACGTAAAGCAAATAACACAGAGTATGGCACATATGGGCGCTCAGTGTGTAAGTTATTACAGATTTTAATTATCACCTTCAAGTCCCCAGAGCTTCTACCTACAGTGCCCGAGACAGAGCAGATGTGCGGCAAAAGATGTTTCGGGACGACGGCAGATAGTCTGCGTCGGGAAAAAGGGCACATCAGTCCTGATGTTGCGGGTGGATCTAGAAGATGATGTAGAAGTTAACCTTAGGAGGCGTGACTTCCAAAACAAAAATGGGAAAAATAAACGTCCCGAGAGTAGACTCTCAGCCAACCGCAACGGTCTGGCAGCCCGCGCGTGCGTCGTCCCGGAAACTGCGATCAGCCCGATCGTTCGACGTGATCTAGAATCCTCAACGCAGATATGACTGCGGGAACTGCTCTTTCTCGCGAGGCTTCACACGAGGCGGCGAGGGAAAGGGCGGGCCCCGCTGGTGAGAGAGGAGGAGCGTGAGGTCGGTTCACGTCGCGCTCCCAGGGGGCTGTGCGTGACCCTCGCATCCGCCTGGATCTTCTGACCAAGCGCGTGAACGTCTCCCCGTAGACTGCTATGGCGCTTCACGTTCCCAAGGCCCCGGGCTTTGCCCAGATGCTTAAGGAGGGAGCGAAGGTAAGAAATTGAGAAGCGGGAGTGAGGTGGGACAGTCGGCGTAGGGCTGCGGCAGCCGCAGCGAAAAAAGGCCTACTTACGGCCGGGCGTGCTCCGCCGGCACAGCGGTCGGAGGGAGAGAAGATTCCAGAAAGAGGCACTGTCGGGAGGGGTCGGCCACCGAAACCCGCTGACATTTCCATTCTCACCCGACCCCGGGGAGGGTCGAGGAGGCAGAGGCGGCCAGTGAGGGGCAAGGCCGCAGGATTCGTGTTATATGCTTCCTTGGGGCACAGGCGTGAAGCCGCTCGTGCATTTTCCCTCTATCCGTAAAACGGGGCTGGTTTGGCTGTCCACCATTTAAGGATATTTATTGTGAAGGTGAAGTCGAATAACGTAGGTGAAGTTGTGAAACCGATTGATGCACGTGTCAAGGAGCGGGTGATCGGAAAGGGACAAGGGCCAGTTCTTCACAGCTTTCTTCTAAAGGAGAAACAGGCGGCTCTCCATTTAGTTTGCAGAAATAGTGTGTTACAGTAGGACAAACATTACTTACAATCCAAATGGGTTTTGGTCCCAATTTAGGTTAGCTAGCTTGATGTAAAATTTACCCCTCTGGGGCTTGCTTTCCTGATCTTTAAGTTGAGATTGGACCGAAAGATGGTACCTTGAGCTGTAACTGTCAGATGTATGTAACCCGCAGGTTACATAGGTGACACCCTGACCTAAATAAAATTGCTTAGTTTTATGGCTATATCTTGAACGTAATTTCAAGAGTGTAGTATTTTTTTAATATCTTAATGAATTGCTGATAAATTTGTCTCTTCAAATAGTGGTGGTCCTTTATTTGTCCCCCAAATTTCCTGTGCTTAATTCAAGAAATACAGATAAGTGTGGTTAAATTAACAATAACAGTTTAGAAACTAGGTTCTTGTTGGCAGGAGGCACTTTGGGGATACATAAAACAGTACTGTAGTAGAGAAAGACAGGAAGTCTACCCCCAAAGAAATGATGAGGGATAGGTATAAAAAAAAAAGAAAAGAAAAAGATGTTGAAGAACTCAGCTCAGTGCTGAGTGAGAAAGAACCAGCCGAGATTAAAGAGGGACATGTTCCAGGATGAGAGACCAGTAAGTACAAAGCCCATGAGGATGGAATGAGTTTAACCTGTTAAAACACTAAGAAAGGTGGTGGGCTGAAGCTCGCCAAGGGAAGGCAAAAATGGGAAAGGATGAATTTTAGAGGAGCTGTAGGCAAGGGCCAGTACATGTAGAGCCTGGTAGCCTGAGGAGGAATTTACATTTTATCCCAAGAGTGATGGGAAACCACTGAAGGGTTTGATGGGATCTGATTTGTGATCAGATGGCCGTTACTCAGAGAATGGGTAAGTGGAAGAAGCAGGCATGTAAGCCTTGGAAGTGAGACTAAATGCTGGTGTAAGAGGAGTCCAGCTAGCTCTAGACTCTGAAGACACTACTTCTAAAATAATAGTTATTAATCTTGTTTGGATAATAGTTCCTTTTATGAATATTACAAAAGCCATGCCTTATATTCTAAAATAGGACTTGTTGCAGTGATGGAAATATTCTAAATCAGTGCTGTCCATTACCCTATCTACAAGCCGTGTGTAGCTATGGGGCACTTAAACTGTGGCTAGTGCAATTGAGAAAAATTTTCTTAATTACTTAAAATTTAAATAGCTTTGTATACTTAATGACTACTAAATTGAGCATAGCAGCTCTAGAAAAATTTTGACATGAACAAAGAGCAAGCTTATGAGACCTGAGGCCACATGTAAAACCCAACACTAAAAAGATGTCTAGTGAAAATTTGAGAATTTTAGTACTGCAAACGATTCAGTTTTTCAGTTTGTACACACTGGAATTGTATTAAAATTGAAGAGAATGTTGCAAAGTCTGTATACTAAAAGTTTTTGCCTTCATAATTATTAGGCTCTAACATAATAAAAAAATACATACCACATTTCAGCTTTTAGTCAGAAAGCACTGATAAACTGTGAAACGGTATTTTTACCTGACCTAATTCATATGCTTTCTCTAACCAGTCTTAGTGCTCTTCCCTGCCCTTTTCACTACATTAAAAAAAAATTATAGGCCTTATGCTTTGATGTGTAGGTAGGTACCTGTGGTCTGTAAAAACATCATGCTTTAATTATTCAACTCGTGAGCAAATGTATGGATCACTTACGATTACCAAGCATCATACTTTACATACATAAACCTTGCTTGGTTGTCTCAACAATCCTGTGAGGCAGGTATTATTACTGCCCCACCCCCCAAATTTTACAGATGAAGAAAATACTTGTTTGACTGTCAGTCTAACCAGAAATTTATTTTCACAGCATTTTTCAGGATTAGAAGAGGCTGTGTACAAGAACATACAGGCTTGCAAGGAGCTTGCCCAAACGACCCGGACAGCATATGGACCAAATGGTAATTTTTTAGTTCATATTTTAAAAGATACAGTAACAGAATTTGGCATACTGGCTTTTTCAGACTTGTTCTGAGAAGTATATGTAAGTTGAGTTTTGTCATAATACAGTATGGCTTGGAAAGATTTCATAGTAACACAGTACATTATTAACCAATTTTTAATCAGCAACTCGAATCACTTTAGGAAAATAGAAATCAGAATGTTACTTTTTATCCTACTGGGAGGATTGAAAAATTACGGTGCTTTGCCATTAATATAGTACCTAAAGTTCATTGTGACATTATCGTTGAAGGGAGGAAATTCTCTCCTGTCATTTACCATGAACCAATGTTAATGGATAACAGACTTATGGAATAAACAAAAAACTAAATAGACTTTAAAGTAGATTATTTTTGGTCTTTTGGTCTTTGTACATGTTAATATAATTTACAGTTATTGAAAATGTGACACGATTGGCATCTTCTCTAGTAAACAATACAGGAGATTAGAAAAGGAAAAACAATATGGGCATGCAGTCAGGGAAAGCCATGGGGCCATAAGATAGTTTTAAAGAATAGATAGTACATGTTGAGTTCTTACAAAGTCATTTTAGGAAATGGATGCAAGGTTATATTACTTGACTAGATTTTCCTGGGTATTTAGAGAAAGATTTGATTAATAATGGATTTCTTTTTCTAACTATTACTTCTGAGGAATGAACAAAATGGTTATCAACCACCTGGAGAAGTTGTTTGTGACAAATGATGCAGCTACTATTTTAAGAGAGCTAGAAGTAAGTTTACATTTCTTTTTTTAAAAAAAAGTTTTGGTGACATTAAAAATTAAGTATACACATGGTGTGTGGGGGGTCACAGGGAAGACTGTAGCACAGAGAAGACAAATAGTGACTCTGTGGCATCTTACTACACTGATGAACAGTGATTTCAATGGGGTATGGGGGGACTTGATAATATGGGTGAATGTAGTAACCACATTGTTTTTTCATGTGAAACCTTTATAAGAATGTATATCAATAATACCTTAATAAAAAAAAATTAAGTATATTAGCATTCAGATTGGGTAAAAAGGGCCTTTTTCTTCTAACTTGAAAATTTATTATACAGATATTTCTAATTACAAAATTCTCTTTAGGTTTAACACTCAAATTTTAAAATTTCCTGACTTAAAAATTTATGGATTTTTTGTAATAAATGTTAATTTCCTAATAACCATATCAAATTGAGTATGTTGTCTCATTCTATAGAGTATGGCACTGAAGTGAATGATTCCATAATGCAGAAACAACTGATAAATAACAGTGGTTTAAAAGAAACCATTCAAGAAACCATTCATTAAGCTTTGTGAAAAAAACAGTCGGTGTCTTTGCTTTTGCTACGTGCAGGTTTGGTACTAGCCTGTGTAATAGACAACTCCAGCAGGAACTATGAGGAAAGTCTGGCACCGAAACAGTATAGCCATTCTTCATCCAGATGTTTGTAGTTGAAGGAAATTTTAAACTGGGAAATTTCCTGAACTTAACTCTTAAAGAACCAGAACTTAATCCTCTTAAACAAAACTCTTACAGAGATATGTTAACTTTTCTCTAACTGCTTTGTATTGAACAAAACATTTCTGTAAGATATTTGTGGAGGGTCTAATTGTGAATGTTAGTTTTGGTACACTATGATCTCAGGAGTTACTGAAGCATGATGGGAATGCTGTCTTAATAAAACGATAGTGTCAGCTTTGCAGTATTTTCACTTGTCAGTTGTTAGTGCTTGTTTATAAACACCTAAATCCTACAGAAAAAGCACTTAAAATTTTGATGTAATTTTTAAGAAACATAGTCCCTTTTTTAAAGACCACAAGCAATACTCCTTACAATATATAGAAATAAAGACTAATGACCAAATTAAATGGCATCTATTTTAGCTCTCGATGCCTTTTTTTAAAATGCCTTGGTTTGATGGTTGGAATTATCTTGTTTTTTAACTTGTCTTTTCAATTTCACTTTGTATGCTTAGGACCACATTATAAGTTTAAAACAGTGTAATCAAATGGAGTTTGCTGGCCCAAAGGAAGATGGGAGTTTGTTAATTGAAGAAAAAATGGAAATTATTTTATATTGCTTTAAGGGTCATGTGTTTTAACTTGATAGTTAAATTCAAACCCAGGTACAGCATCCTGCTGCAAAAATGATTGTAATGGCCTCTCACATGCAAGAGCAAGAAGTTGGAGACGGCACAAACTTTGTTCTGGTATTTGCGGGAGCCCTTCTGGAATTAGCTGAAGAGCTTTTGAGAATTGGCCTGTCAGTTTCAGAGGTGAGTGTCCATTTTATAATGTACTCCTGTTTAATTTCTACCTATATATACGTTTGTATGTGTGTGTATATACCTTTTGCTTCAAACTTAAAAAGGAATCATTATAGTAATAGCTAACATTGAGCAGTTTACTCTGTACCATGCATTGTAATACATAAGGTTCACATTGCAATTTCTCATTCTATGTCACAAGGATAGAATATCCTATAAATGAGGCCTTTCAAAATTAATCCCATTTTAGAGGAGGAAAGTGAAACTTACAAAAATCTTGCTCAATATCTTGTAACTGGAAACTAATATAGTATTATCTATCAACTATATTCCACTTTAAGAAAATGAAAAAATCATCAAAAAGTAGGGGACTCTGCCATGAATACTATTCTAGAAGTATACTTTGTCATTTTGTATTAAAAAAATATCCATATCAGGTTATCAAAATTAAGCTCCTTTCTACATTATGTCAAAATTAAATCTTTTGAAGAAATGTTTTTGCTCTTTACATTAAGGTTATACAGGGTTATGAAACAGCCTGCAGAAAAGCCCATGAGATTCTTCCTGATTTGGTATGTTGTTCTGCAAAAAATCTTCGAGATGTTGAGGAAGTGTCATCTCTACTTTGTACCTCCATTATGAGTAAACAGTATGGTAATGAAGTGTTTCTGGCCAAACTTATTGCTCAGGCGTGTGGTGAGTAAATATCAGTAAATGAAAAGAATCAAAGTAAAAATGTCTTACTGTGACTTAAGCTATTTTATCTTTTGTCCTAGAATATCTTTTGATGATATGTCTCATTTTCTTAACAGTATCTATTTTTCCTGAATCTGGCCATTTCAATGTTGATAACATCAGAGTTTGTAAGATTCTGGTAAGTTTAGAAAATGCATTAATGTTATCTAGATAGGTCAGCTTTATTTTCCCAAAAAGAAAAAGAAACTGTTGATCTAAACCTAAATTTTACCTCCAGCTTCCTACCTTTTGAGGCATCATTTGTAACATTTTATATTGCTATGCTGTGATATTACTGGCTATTATATTTAAGTGGGTATTGACATATTATCTCTTGTAATGTCATCATTTTTCCATGACAGCTTGAAAGATTGAGAATAGTGCATAAACAAAAATACTGATTTTTTGCTTTCTTCATAGGTGCTTAATTATAACAATAAGCTTAGAAGCCAGTTCTTAATAGAAGTTGTCCTGTTGCTCTATAGTAACAAAACTCATACTTTAATGGTAGTATTGAAATAAAAGTGTATTTTTGATTAACGACTTGGTGCGAGATACAGTAAAACCTGTAGTTGTAGTTGTTTATCTTATGTAAGTCTATTTGCTAACTGTGTTTTCTGATTCATGTACTGCCCACTCCGTTCCCCCATTAAACTATAAGCTTGTGAGAACAGAAACTTTGCATTGTTCCCTATTCTGTCCCCAGTACTGACAACTTTGCCTGGTATATTGGCACTAAGTATTTGGTCAATGACTGGGTGACAGGCTTAGACCAGGTGTCCTCTGCCTTTGGTTCTCCCAATACACTGAAGCCTCCCCACCCCTTCATCACAGTTGCTCATTCCCACAGTGATGCCTACCTTGAGCAGCCTGGTGTGTTTCACGCTACCTCCCCACTCCTTACTCTAGGAGTCACTGCTTTGGTGTATTACTTTAGTTAGAAAAGGATATTTTTGGTATATTCATATTCAACTACTTAGCCCTAATGTCATTTCCATGAGCACACTGATGATGTTGGTATTCAACTCCATAGGGCTCTGGTATCTATTCCTCTTCAGTATTTCATGGCATAGTTTTTAAGAAAGAAACCGAAGGTGATGTAACATCTGTCAAAGGTGCAAAAATCGCAGTGTACTCTTGTCCTTTTGATGGCATGATAACAGAAACTAAGGTATGTAGATTTGAAAACCTTAAAGGTAAAAATTTGAGGATGCCCTTTTGGATTAATATTTTATGAGGGATATAGATAAAAACTTTGTTCTTAATCCAGTGAATTACTCATAGTTACTGAAAACTGCAAGAATGTATCTTTTTTAAAGTCAGATTTACATTCTTTGAATACCTAATTCATATACTACATTTGAAACATTAGGTGGGGCAGTATTGTTGATAATTCTAATATACAGCTCTTGACTTCTACGCAGCAAGTAAAATACTCATTGAAGAGAATGTGAGTACCTGTGTGCTCTTTATTAAAATATTCTTTAAAATGTTGAGATTCTGTAGCATCCTGAAACAAAAAATATGGTAATTTAAAATTGATGTTTGTTTTTAAAAATACACGGTTACGAAGTTTATGTTTATAGGTCACTGCTGACTTCATCCCTAAATTCTTAAAATCTGGGTTGTTGGTGTTTTTAAAAATTTCACAGATTTGGGGGAGTCGGGAGGGCAGTAGGTCATCTAGTCAACATTTTAGAAAAAGTTTGAAAACCACAACGTTTGTTTTGGTACACAGGCAGATGTCTGTCAAGACAAATGCCAAGTCATCTGCCCAACATGCCTAAAATTGTAGTGTTTCTCCAACTTTTCTACCAAAGTGCCTATCAAAAGAGCAAATGCAATTTCCCCTCTTAACAGCACTAAACTGTTTTCTACCTTTATCTTGCATCTACCTACCACTTCAGCATTTTATTAAAAAAATAATAATGGAGAAATGTGCGATTCACATATAAATCAAGTATAAAAATCAAACGAATATTCACATTTGACCTGATTGTTTATAGTTCATAATGCTTGATCAAAACCGAAAGTTTCTGTGATGACTGCCCTTGCACTGTTCACCATGTAAGAACTTATTCACTATGTAAGAATTTGTTCACCATGTAAGAACTTGTTCGTTATGCTTCAGAAGATTGGAGACTGTTGAGAATTAGGCTTGGGGTTGATTAATGATTGTGCATTGAGTCCCCTATACAGAATTTTATTGTTGTTAACAACCATTTGATCAATAAATATGAGAGATGCCCTCTCAAAAAAAAAAAAAAAAAAAAGAGCAAATGCATCGGTTTTGAGTGTGGGGTTTCTAAGCAAGCTGACTCACACAGATTTTGTATACTGCTTCATAATGCATCCATTTTTATCTTTATATTTTCTCCCATTTATTTCTTCAATAAGATGAACCTCTATGACTTTGAACACCAAAGTAATAAAATGATTTTAAAGAGGGTGCTTGCTTGTTTTGCTAGGGAACAGTATTGATAAAGACTGCTGAAGAATTGATGAATTTTAGTAAGGGAGAAGAAAATCTCATGGATATACAAGTCAAAGCTATAGCTGGTACTGGTGCAAATGTCATAGTAACAGGTGGCAGAGTGGCGGACATGGCTCTTCATTATGCAAACAAGTACAATATCATGTTGGTGAGGTAAGTGAGAGCTGCATTCTATTAATCTGTATGGTAAATTGTTTTTTGGTGATGAAATATTAATTCAGCACACTGTGAAGACTGTTTGAAAAAGGCAAATACAAAGGTACTGGACCAAAAAGCAGAAGGACTCGATTGGATTTAGGAGAATAGTAAACATCTCAGAAAACTTTAAGCTTTGAGCCAAAGGAACAATTAACATGTTATTTGAAGAGGCAGAGGGAAAAGTATTCCAGGCAAAAGGAACAGCTTAAGAGACCAGGCACAAAGCTGTACACCTAGAGTGAGGGGTCAGAAACATAACTTTTAATCCCTTATCTCATTTATGGGGTACAAGACAATTTACCTGCCCATTCCCACCTCTCCTAGCACCTAATGTGCAGAATAAATCACTGTTCTCTTCCTCACAGAATTGCCTGAAATAAAGCAAAAGTTTTCTATATACCAGGGCTTCCCTAGTGTTTTAGAACTATAAACCTTTGGCATCCAAAGGAGACTTGAACTCTCCCCAATCTAAAATAATGCAATAAATGCCTGTGTCTGGATTGGGTAGTGTAGTCCAGACCTATTCTGAGCTTGAACCTTCAGGATCAAAGTGTGTGACTTGTGGGCTCATATATTTCCTGTTTAATCTCAGCCTTTTATTATACCTGATGAAATTAAACTATGAAGGTTTTTTTTTTAAGGCTGAACTCAAAATGGGATCTCAGAAGGCTATGTAAAACAGTTGGTGCTACAGCGCTTCCTAGATTGGTATGTATTTTGGACAACATTAAAAGGTAGTTGAACCTCTTTGAATAATTTTTATTAAAACAGTCACTTTCTTACAGACTGCTCCTGTCCCTGAGGAAATGGGACGTTGTGACAGAGTTTACCTCTCAGAAGTTGGAGACACACAGGTGGTAGTTTTTAAGCATGGTATGTATGTAGTTATGGTAAAGTATGTTTATGTTAAGTGTAGAGTGTTCATTCTTTTATTAAAATGTTAATATATTTAAATTTATTGACAGAAAAGGAAGACGGTGCCATTTCTACCATAGTGCTTCGTGGCTCTACAGACAATCTGATGGATGATATAGAAAGGGCTGTAGATGATGGTGTTAATACTTTCAAAGTTCTCACAAGGGTTAGTATTAGCTGCAGTCTTGATGTAGTAATTTTTAAGGCCTCAAAAACAATTGGCAGTCTACTGAACATCCTGAAAACTTCCAAAATGAGTGACTTGTTTAAAGCCAAGCACCTTTTTTGCTTAAGACTATAAAGTGTCCGTTGCATTTGAATATTACTATATTTTAAAGTGATTATGCAAACAAATGAAGAGCAAAGCAAGGGTTGTTTTTCAGCTGTTCAAAGGGAAAGATTATAGTTTTCAATAATGTACCTTCATTTGCTTAAGTGCTATTCTTAGTGCCATACCTGTGGAAATGCAGGTAAGTTGTTCCCATTTGGTTTATATATCACTGTACAGTGAAATAATTTACCCAAATCACTTCATTTTTATAAAATCTCTAATTAGAATTTGAGTAACAATGTCTGATTTAAAACTCTAGTCTGGCGGAGTACTGGAATCTGAGAAAACTAGAAAACCGAAAACTGCTTCTTGGTGATTTTTTTCTTCTATTACATATTATAGGATAAACGTCTTGTACCTGGAGGTGGAGCAACAGAAATTGAGTTAGCCAAGCGGATCACATCATATGGAGAGGTACAGCTTTTTCTGTCTAAAATGACATTCTTCTCATTGCTTGAATAAAGTACAATAGTAAACACATTTTTGTTCTAGACATGTCCTGGACTTGAACAATATGCCATTAAGAAGTTTGCTGAGGCATTTGAAGCTATTCCCCGGGCACTGGCAGAGAATTCTGGAGTTAAGGCCAATGAAGTAATCTCTAAACTTTATGCTGTACATCAAGAAGGAAATAAAAATGTTGGATTAGATATTGAGGTACTTGGAAGAAAAAAAAACTGAACTTAAGTCGTATTTTGTGAATGTACAACCTAAAAATAGAAGTAGTAAGTTTAAAGGAAAAGACAATAAGAAAATGTTGTGATTTGTAAGCAAATGATTTTCATAGCAATTAGCTCTTACATGGTTTATCTGATGGAGACTTGTTTTCCTTCAGTTTTTCATAACCTGTAGTACATATAGGGCTATGTATAGAGTGCTACTATTGCCGGATTACTTTCTAGTAGTACCTAAGGAGCCATGTGTTTTATTACTGAGTATAAAGATGTTCACATAAAAGAATTTAAAGTGAAAGAATGAAATTGTTTTGTGTTGACAGGCTGAAGTTCCTGCTGTAAAGGACATGTTGGAAGCTGGTATTCTAGACACTTACCTGGGAAAATACTGGGCTATCAAACTGGCTACTAATGCTGCTGTCACTGTACTTAGAGTGGATCAGGTGAGTAAAAGTGAAATTGTGATATTTAAATATACTAATGTTCATATGGTTCTGTAGTGTATGTTCTTAATCATATATAGTTAGGAAGCAATGAATGCAATTTCCAATTTTGAGATTCAGAAAGTATAGTTAAGAATTTGAGTTGTACTTTGAGAAAAGCCAACTAATTTAGTTTATAAAATTCAGCATCTACCAAATTTGAGCCCAAAGCTCACAGTCACCCTTTTATTCCCCAAACGTAAATCCTTTAAGAAAGCTAGATCATTAACATTTGCAAGTGTTGAGTAGTTTATTCTAGATAAATTACAGTCTTCGATTGTATGTAAGTTACCAGAGCAGTAGGTACTTGAGTTTTTGTTTATGAACACACATTTGCTGCCACTGGAATGATTCCCACTTACAGGTACTAGAAAATTTCAGTATCAAACTTTGAATATATATTACATGTATTTATATATCAATCACTTTAGATTATAATGGCAAAACTGGCAGGTGGACCTAAAGCTCCTAAACCTCAAGGAAATTGGGATAAAGGTGGTTGGCAAGAAGAATCTTATAAGTAGTAAATCAGGTGCCAAACTGATTGATTTATGCCAGTGATTCCTGCAAGTATTTTTCACATTCGACTCAGTGGGTTATTAATATGCATGTCTTAGAATGCCCTTCACTAATGTGTGAATTTTGTTGCTGTTAATTTCCACAGAACAAGGACACTGACGAGCTTTGTGTTAGTAGTTCATATGCAGTGTATAACATATTTCTTATATTGAGGTGATTGCTTAATTTTGAATCAGTCTTAGAGAAAAATACTCTTTCTCTTCATTTTAAAGGTTGAGTTTGTAAGTATACTCCTGTGGTTTTTGTTTCACAGATCATCATGGCAAAACCAGGTGGTGGGCCCAAGCCTCCAAGTGGGAAGAAAGACTGGGATGATGACCAAAATGATTGAGTGGCTTGATATTACTGTAGGTGAAGGCTATGTTTATAGCAATAGTCTAGGAATTACCTGTTTCCATATTCTTAAATTAAGAATTGTTTTATGTTTGTTTCCACAGTTGGATGATACAGTAAACATATTGTTAATATTAAAGCCTCATTGATGACCACTGTTAATGGATCTAAATGGCCTTTTTGTGTCAACCTTGTTAACGAAATTAGCTGTGGGACCTAAGGCAAGTCACTTCAGTAATTAGGGACCTATTCTAATATTTATCTGGCCTACAGTGTATTTTTATACATAAATGTTTTTAGAACACAGCCATATTCATATATTAACATATTTCCAGTGGCTGCTTTCTATAAGAAATGGCAGCATTGAGTAGCTGTGATAGAGACCAAGTGGCCTGCAACGTATACATTATTCATTCTCTGACTGTTTACAATAAATGTGTCAATCCCTGGACTAGATTTTGAGGGGGGTTTTTTGTTTTGTTTTTTTCACAGCTCTGGAAATCCTGAGATTTTGATACTTGTTTTAATAGCAGTGAATGATTTGAATGGCTGATTGAAAATACTTACATTCTAGTAGCTAAATACAGAGATAGATACTTGGAATACAACTGCAAAAATGACACAATATGCATAAATTAGATCAGTTTTGAAAAAGCAAAGAATATTGTATAAGGTTAAATTTACAGATTTATAGGACATGGTGCTACTATATGTTGGTTATATAAGGTGCTTAAACACTGAAATTTTTATGTTCCTGGTATTTCAAAGGAATTTTGGAGCAGTGGGGCTGCCTGCATGTTAGAAACTCAAGTATTAAGAGTGATACCTCTCTCCTGGCTGCATAGCAAGAATGGTGTGGTCCATTGTATGTCAGAGAAATTACAATAGAGACCCTTACAGGAAATTTAGACAGGCTTGGACTCCCCAAGGCTCTTAGGGTCGCATATGGCTCAGAAATACTGGCTGGCGAACTTACTAGTGACAGTTTACAGGCTTTCTCTGGCATGCTGGTATTAAGGAGACCTGGTAGCTAATATTTACGGAGTCCCAGGAGTATCTACCTTGGGTCATCACTATATATAGTAAGTGAAGAGCTAAGCCTACACTCCAGCTTATGCATACTGTATGGCATCAGAAGAATTACTAATATGTGTGTTTCTCTCAATTATATACTGCTGTCAACAGCAAATACCTATGCTTTTTACATTAACACAGCCAGTCTGAAACTAAAATGTTACCTACCGGAGGGTTAAGTCAATGCAACTTTAAATCTTCAAGTAAGAAAACAAGTTTTGGGGGTAAGTCAGTTTATTGTTGTGTTGTGAACCACCACCCAGACATATTTAAGCACAGAGGACTTAAGTAATTCAGAATCCTTTCCAGAAACTGAAAGCAGGAATAAAAACCACTACGACAGTACAAAACCACTGTATATTTTTCCTTCAGTATTTCAATAAACATGATTTCTTCTGGCAGGTACTTAATTTTAAGTGAACATGATTTAGTCTTTACCTCTTTATTATTATTATTACAGCCATTATAAAAGCCATTAACATGTTTCTAGAGAAAGTACTTTTTGAAATTGTTATAGTATTCTCTCATAAAATAGGAGGTACGCTTGTGAATTCAGGACTTGAGTTGTAGGTACAGCTTGCACATGGGAATCGCTGATGTGAAACCACTGCCCTTTGGTTGACTGCATTTCAAAATCTGTCAAGAGACCATGTAAAATTAAATATAAATGAAGATTCAAAGTCATTATTTTTTTATTTTGCCATAATCGGAATACCAGTACTTTCCAAGACATCCTACCTTGTGGAATATCACCATGGAGAACAAGATTAAAGAGATGACTATTTGCAGTTCTTGTCTTTGCGTAGGCAGTATAATGCCCTGACCTCATGGTGCCACTGTGCTCAACAACTCCATACAGGGAATATAGTACCCTTGTATTTTCTTCAGCAACATTCTTTGAAAAGGAATAGAAGTCAGAGGTTAGTTCTAGTCCCATTTATACAAATGCCATTGGCAAGGTAATTTTAAACTATGCAAAGGGTGTCTCTAACCTTTACTCTGAGAATGTGGAAATCATGAGTCTGAACTAGACTGCTCTTCTCAGCCTGAGCAGTGTCACACTTAGGTTTTCATTGGAAAGTCACCACTGCCATTTATCTGCTAGAAGAACCGTAAGCCAGCAGCCACTTGCCGTAATCAGCTTCCTGGCCCAGATACTTAAATCAATGAACTAAACTTGCAGTTTCTTTGGGAATATTGGGATCTAAACTTGCCGGTTTCTTTGGGAGTCTTGGGATCAAACAATTCCAAAGTAGCTCAACTACTACAACATTCTAGTTCCTGCCCAGAACGTAAGCTTGTAACAGCAAGGGTACAGCATTAAGACATGCCAAAAACTACCCCTTAACATTTCCAAATAACCCCCAAAGAATTTGGTGAGAAGCACATGTAAGCTCTCAACCACCTCGAGTGGAGAATGCTTATTCTTTTAAGGTCCCATATGCTATAGCGCTGGTTGGCAATGGGGAAAGGCATTCTCCAAGTTGGGGGCCACTTCAGACTCTTCTATTTATGTTCTCTTATAAAAAGTCTTCCCGAATGGGCATCACTGTCCACTTTCTTAGGGATTTCACTTTCCATCAGTGAGCTTCACAGGAATATCACTGCCATTCCATGAGAGCCAATTCACAACCAGTACTATATTCTGGATTTGGTCATGACTCAGAACTGTTTGACGTCAGAAATCTTACTAATTTTCTAGTCTCAGTCCACAATTCTTCTATTCTTCCAATTCTCATCTCAGCTATACTCTTTCATCTAACAGAATCCTCCAATCCTCATTTTCTCCCAGCCTCCTACAAAGCCTCTTCTGGCCCCATTCTCACATGAAGTCTTTTATCTTCACTATTCAAAATAGTGGAACAGCTACAGCAGCATTACCTGAGTGTTTATTACACACACAGAATCCCAGGCCCCCACCCAGACCTACTGATCCCCAGTGATTCATATGCACATGGAAACTGAGAACCCTGACCACATGTATCACTTTTACAAGTAATCTCACACCTATCACCAGCCTTACCACCACATCGAATTCATCACAGAACCCCACTGAATTCCCAAGCCCACACCCAGACTACCACTATTGCTAGGAAACAAAATTATGTAACCCTGCCAATCAGTAATTCATTGAGTCATCTGAATCCTCTGTTGTTAGCATCATCTTGTAACTTGTTCTTAGCTGCCTCTTCCATAGATGTCCTTCACAGCAACTGGCCCAAACTTCACCACTCGTCTAGCCTGTCCTTATCCCCCAACTCTTTATTTCCTATAGATGACCAACTCCCACTTCAGGAAGTTAAGACAAATACACAACGTACCCAACTACAAGTTGCCCACTGTCAGGAAGGTGAAGCACCTTCTCCTTGTTCAGAGATGATTCTCCACTTAAGTCTTCATCCCAGCCCTTCCAGCCTTCTCCACGGTCTTGCTCAATTATCTCTCTTTTTCATATTTTCAACTTAGAGATTTCCTTTAGAGTTTGTAGGCTACTTTTAGATTTGTAGACAACCCAGACTTTAAAAAAAAACCTTGCATGATCCACCACTTTTCCCTTTCAACAAAGCCTCTAACATATCTACATGCTTTATTTCCAATACTCTCATTCATTTTTCTCAGCTTCATTTCTTCACTGAAGTTACCAACATTTCTTGAAAATTTTGCCATGTCTTTTATATTGTCTAATTCATTAAAATACTTTGTAGTCTTTTTCTCTGACAGTCTGACAGAGGCAGCTTTGTCTTTTCCTTGAAGCTTAAACACAGGGCAATGGCATTTTAAGCAAAAGATGGATTCTTGATGACCCTGTATTCAAACTAATCCAACCAAAGGTATTTCTGTTTACCAACAAAAGTGGCCCTACCCTATTGTGATAACCTAAAAGTAATTCACTCTATCCACCAGCTCTGAAATACCCTTCCTGGAGAATTTTTAATTCAGAGGTAGGGAGAATTTCCATCATTTCAAATTTTGTACATGAAGTATAACAGTATGTTCATGATGAAGTATTTTAAATCTGAGTATAGTACAACAGTATAGCTTCTCTGATTCTCCAAATTCCTCAACATGGGAATTCATTAGATTCTCGGTGGTGTCCTCTTCTACCTACACTTCTACCCAGACACTCGCCAGAGTTCTCATTAACCATCTCTTCTCTTTCTCTTCCCTGCTCTCCACACAGGCTCTTACCCTCTCATAGTTTCAACCTCCACTTACATATTAACTTCTAAATCTTCACCTCCAGGCCTAACCTGGGTCTCACATATGTACATCAAAATACTTTATACATAGCCACATGAATATTTCAAAAATATCTGAAATGCAATGTATCCAAAGCGAAACTCATTGTCCTTTCTCCTCTGCCCAACTTGTTCTTCCTGTATTTACTACCGCAATTTATGGCGCTCTCATCTACCATCTGCCTACTCACTCAAGCCAGACCCCAGGAATCATGTTGAACTCTTTCTGTGCCATCATCAATCCATTTCAAGGCTTCTGCCTCATTTTCCAGAACCAACTGTTATCACTCTCGTTAATTTTACCTCCTGGAATATTCTTTCAGTCTCCCCTGGTCCTGCTCTAGTTGAAACCATCATCATCTGTTGACTGAATTCAATAGCTTTTTAACTAGTTTCTCTACAACTAGTCTTTTCCTCCTAAAATCCAGCCTGTATACTTCAGCAAGTATCCTAGGTAATATACTAACTCATTTCCTCTTGACTCATCACATTAACACTTACTGCTTTAACTGGTAGTGGAAGCAGCTCTACTTCACGGAGCTTCCCTGAACCACCAACATACTGGGTTAAGTGCATACCACTCAAGCTCTGTGCATACCAAGATTAAAACTCACCCATACTAAATTAAGATTATCCATAACATATCTGCTTACCTTTAGTTAGGTACTCTCACCAACCAAGACAATGTCTGAACAATGATAGGGTCTAAAAAAATGCTGAACTGAAATAACCTAATGTTCAAAATTATTCATCAGACCTTGAAAGGATGGGGAACAAAGATCAAAAACCCACTCTACTCAGTACTTAACAACTTCATACTTCAGTAAGCAGCTACTGAAGTATTTGGTA